CCATTTATTGTGCTTTCGACGTTATTCTTGTTTCGATAAATTGTTTACCATCTGCTTGACAAGGAGACAGACGTTTAATTTTAGTTTTGTTTTCAAGAGCCTGAAAAGCCTTGCCCAATCGTCACACTTTGGGTGTGTTTATAAGCGTAGCTCTCTCTCACGCAATCGTTCTCTCACTCTCCCCTCCCTCTCTCCCTCTCTCTCTCTCTTTCCCTCTCTCTCCCTCTACCTCCCTCTCTCTCTTTCTCTCTCACTCTCTCTCTCTCTCTATCTCTCTCTCTCTTTCTCGCTCGCTTCGAAAAAGCCAAACATTCGTATTTTTGGTGACCGAAGCGGTCGCCCATCACATCCCGAAAGAATAGCAGCCAATTTGCCTTTCGTCTGTGTTCGGAGGTTGGCAGTCCGACAGGAAACAGTAATTGCAGGTTTCCAACTCTTAATCACTCTATCTTTGGCGTATTTGGACTTGCGTGTACTTGTATGTCCCCTTTGAATCAACCAAAACCTTCGGCCCCATCGCTTGCGTTTATTAACGGCTCACGAAAAAACAACAGAGTGTTGATGGTCTCTGCTTGGGAAACTCGTCGCCGTCGCACTTGTCCATGATCGGTTTCCACTCGGGCACTCCTTCGAGAAGAATATTTTTTTCTTGGGCGTGCTGGAATAAGATGTTTGATATCCTCCTCCTCCTGATCCGCCTCTTACTCCTACTCCTAAGCCTTGTTTGTTTATCCTTACCTCCGCGACCATTTTGATAAAGTCATCCCAGTCCGAACCATCGGCTATCATCCATTTACTCGCTTTCTGCCACTCACGATGCGGCAGCAACGTGGCGCAGCTGCGCACGTGGCCGGTGCAGTTGATTCCCAAAATTAGCTTGCAGCTCTGAAATTGAAAGTTTAGGATGCAAGAAACATTTCCCTATCGCTATCCGTATATAATTTGGGTATCTTATCCTATAAGCGAGAAAGTAAGTTGTTTTCTGTACAACCGTCTTCTAGGCCGTTCGGCCGAATTGTTGGAGGTTTTTGGAGGCCGAAGTGATTTTTGGCATAAAGGTGGGGAAACACATTTGACAGTGAGGCAATCGTTTTTCGAATTACATTGATTTTAAGATTTTCCAGGCAAAATAGTGAACAACCCTTGACATTTTGGTCAAAATAGCTTTGTTTAAAGGCTATATCGGGATCAGGGCCGTAATAAACCCCGAATTTCGGGGGCACCAAAATTTTTTCACTAATATGACCAAAACTGCAGCGCGGCAGGCAAAAATTTTGAAAACATAGGGTGTATAGCACTAAAACTGGTGTTAAAAATAGCCAAAAACGGCGCGGCAGGCAAAAAATTTTTTTGGAAAAATTAAATCATTAAGGGTCCCCCCTTATGAACTTTTCGACCCCCGGCCGATATTCTGGAGGGGCGGCTCGCCCCCCCCCCCCCTTACGGGCCTGATCGGGATCCACGTGACCAGGCCCGCAGCCAGAAAAAAATTCGGGGCCGCCGAAAATTTTTTTAAAAACAAATTTGCCCCTGGACAAAAATACAGCGCCGCAAGCTAATAGTTTTGAAAAACAAATTGTTCAGCACGAAAATAGTCTTAAAAACGCTAATAAATAGCGCCGCCAGTCCAAAAATTTTTCATAAAAAAATCATGAGAGTCCGAATTCGCCAAAACTTTTGATTACTTTCTGTTCAGCCAGATACTAAGAGTCATAGCATGAGATTCCACTTTTTGGAAGACTTACTCTCCAATGGCCGCCCTGGCCCATTACGTAGATGCCGTAGACGAGAATGAGCACAAGGAGAAACTTCATTTCTGAAAGGAATTTGTAGGGACTGTGAAGAACAATGGTCGTCGCAGCGCCTTCCAAAAACCGTTTGCGAGAGGACCGAACAATGTTTGGCGCATTTCTTTTCGACTTTGTTTTATGATGCCATCTGTTAGAGCATGGTCGATTAATAATAAAAGTTTATTTTCAGAATTTAAATAGTATAAAAGTAGTATAAAAGTTTATTTTCAAAGTTGCTGTAGTGGATTGCATATTGCCTACCAATCCAGGGGGTCGCGTCAGTTCAATCCCAGCCCCCTTCAAAAGAAATATTTATTTTTGCTCTTTTTTGCAATGCATTCAGCGCACACTCTAGATACGGCTTGACATTTTCGATTTCAAATTTTTTGATTTTTGAGGTTTTTGACCCATTTTGGGGCTGATTTGCGCGCATTAATTAACTACTTTATAGCAAGACTGGGGTTTTCGTCGGGCCCGGTATAAAACACCTCATTCAATGTAGAATTTTTTGCGCAGATTTAAAGGGTATTCAAGCCGAGCTCCAAAAACCCGTAAATCACACAACCCTGAAAACTGTCTTGGTAACATGTTCCGCTTACTTTCGTTATTTCCGATGTATTAGGGAAACGGTCAACATTCGAAAATTCGTATTGACAAAGTTTTAGCCAATTCGGTTTATTAAATTTTGCGATGATTCTTTTGGGTTGTCAACTTTGACGCGAATTTAAACTATTAAACTTTTTAAACTTTCAAAACTATGCATCCCTACAAATTCGGCAATGCTCTAGCAGATGGCATCATAAAGATGCAGTCGAAAAGGAATGCGCCAAACATTGTTCGGTCCTCGCGCGGACGGCCATTTAAACAGAACAAATGGCAAAAAAGAGACAAAATAAATGGCTCTAATGTGATGTCTCCTTTTTGAATCATGCGAGCGGGCCAGCAGCTGTCACGGTCGCTGTAAATAGCATTAAAAGCATTTTCCGAACCGGGTAGAGGCGCTCAATGGCCGAGAAAAACCGAAACAGCTTCAGAAAAGCTTAAGGGTAATAAGTGTCCGTTGCAAAAAATAAAAGTAAAAAATAGGCGCCCGAAATAATGGGTAGTGTTGGTATCTGTACCGTAACGGTTCTTAACGTTCTTAAAGGCACTTAAAGGGATCAGGAAGGCCCGGATTAATTAAGCATAAAATCGGTTTTAACTTTAAAATTATCATAAATCGTCTCTTCTCCGTCTCGCCTGATGAGCCCACTCTTTGCCCCGTATTTTGCATTGGCATTTCCGGTTGGCACCCTGCCAGTTGTAGATCAGCCCCGATCCCTTTAAAGGCATAATCCCTATTAATGTCATACGGTGGTAAATCAAATCCTAGAAAGTCTATAACGGTAATGAAAGGACTATTCCACTCGGTGCTAGACAATGTCCGTTAAGAGAAATCAAATTCACCCGTTCAAACTGTTTTTGGCCCTCGATGTAAGTTGCTTTTATATGCACCGCACATTTATGTCAGGCTGTTTGTGTGGGCGGTTTGATCCGGGAGCTTGGAAAAAAATGCTTGCCCGCGTTGAAAGACAACGCGCTGTAAAATGTGCTGGAAACAAATCAAAAGCAATTTTTCACCCACAGGGTACGGTTTTCAGTCCCCAACAAAAAGCCGAAGCCGTTTCAAAAAAATCATGGCAAGTAATTTCCGTTGTCCGTTTATAGACAAAATCTGCGTCCGAAAAAAATGGGTGGTTTTAAGATGTGCTCTGTTAAGTTCATATGGGCACACTATGGTATAATCCCAAAATGACATGGCCGTGTGGCCGTGAATCAAATCCCAGAGGGTCAAAAACGGGATTAACGAACTATTTACCCCGATGGTCAGAAAAGAAGCAAAATTTCAGACATTTTGTCTTTGTCATTGATAGCTCCGATTCCGGCCTATTTTGGGTGCCACAGAAAACAGCGTCAAAATTTCGAACTAGGTAATAAGAATTTTTTTCTTGATTTCCGGTAAAGCGCTCTGCAGAGAACAAAACCCGAGTTTGAATAGGGTTCTAGAAAAAAAACCCAAAAAATTGATACTAAGGGAAAAGTGGAGCGGAGACGGTGATTATGCGAAGCATCCATAAAAACCTAACTTCAATATTCGAGGACCAGGGCAGTAGCCTTTTTTTTGATAGCCGTGGAGAAGCGTGTTATTGAAGCAATTTTTTGATAATTTTTTATAGAGGCTTTTCTGCGGTAAATTCTTACTGGCCACCCTGTAGTTTCTAGGGTTTCCTGACTTTTTAGCGTAATTCGTCGGTTCTAGGCTAGGCTTTATATGCGGCTTGTAGAAAACGGACTTGGATCTAAACATTATATGCTTTCCTATTTACGCCATTTTTTTACTATTAAGGCTTCCAGGCCATTCGTATTTATGAGGTCCAGACGCGATAGGTGGAATGGGCGCGGGCCTCTCTATGGGGGAATAAGACGGGCGCACCGGAAGTTGCCTGGAGATTCAACGGGGAAAAGAGAACGCAGGAACGCAGTGGATCATATTCCAGATTCAATATCGATAATTCTAGCTGTTGTATTACGAGAATAGTTTCCCACCGAACCTACTACGATCTTTTTGTATACTACGCGTCATGGGTCTGTGAACGCGGCCCCCCGGACCACCCGAATTCCCAACCGTGTTCTTACTATCGGAATGAGGCAGGCAGATACACCATCTACCTTTCACGATTCAAATAAAACCGTGTTTAGAAAACGAAGACAATGCTAAGAACATCTGCAAAGCAGCTGAAGGGTCAACCAACACGGTAAAAGAATTGCCTGGGAAGACAGACAAAATGCAAAACACCGTGAACTTAACCCCCATATATAGGAGTGAATCCATCACTTCGACAGGTGTCAACCTCGAGTCAGAATCAGTTTGATTTTGCGCTCCCTTTCTGAGCATAGTTCTGGATTATGTCTACCTAACCGTTATCGTCACTTTGTGTGCGTCAACGGTCAACGGTCCTGCCATTCAACCCCGGCTCAGTGACAAGCGATTGGCAGTAAGACATCACCCCATTTCCGTACATACCGACAAGGCCAATGTGCGAAAGGAATGTGAGAGTCACGCCATTTCAGTCGAAGAGCACCTTGGCAGTACCTGATTTCAAGAAACGTGTAATATTTGCAGGCAATTTGCAGGGCCAATTCAGATGTCATGCATAAACAAATGAGGTTGCAAAAAACGCCTCCACACATCCTACAGTTGATCCAAATAAGAATATATTCAAAACGCCGAAAATACCCCCGTTATCCTATGTGCTGCCCATAGTTTTCAAATATAGTTTTTAGGCTATAAAACTTTTATAATACATTTTTTCGCCTTGTAAAAAAATCTTTTAGTACAGTGCGGGTCAAAATGATAGGTCCACCTAGTTTTTGTCGATTTTCTCAGCGGAGAAGTAATTTCTGGCTAACCCAAATAATAGGCCTTGTAGTCCTAAAAAAGACGAATTTTTTGATCTACTTCCAATATTTTGAAATCAACGGGAAGCCGATTTATAAAGCAAACATTAAAATAGTGGGAAAAACCGATGTGTCAAAATGATAGGTCCACACTTTACATATGATTACAATCAACGATGGGTATGAATATTAGATGCTAATTATATTCTACTTATGGTAATCATTTTCCGGTTGACGTTTTCGAGATAATATTGCTACTATGCATATTTTTCTACATTGCATCCCGATCAGTATCTAATATTCATACCCATTCTTGATTGTAATCATATGTAAAGTGTGGACCTATCATTTTGACACATCGGTTTTTCCCACTATTTTAATGTTTGCTTTATAAATCGGCGATCCGTTTTTGTAGAGATATTTTGAATACATGAAAAAATTTGTCTTTTTAAGGGCTATAAGACCTGCTGTTTCTATTAGCTTGGAAATCATTCACCCCCGAAAAAATTACGAAAAAGTATCTGGACCTATCATTTTGACCCGCACTGTATAATTTTTGATGTTCTATCGATTCGCGTTTTCAAAATATCGAAAATCTCAAAAATTTGGCTTCCCCGTTATCCTATGTGCTGCCCATAGATTTTCCTCAATTTTTGTTTATTCAATAAAAAAATTCCATTACATTATTTCGGGCTGAAATTAATTCTCTTAGTATGTTTTTCGACGCTCTATCAAATGGCTGTCGCAAAATCCCACAGTAATTGCAAATTTCATAATAATGAGTGCCCCCGTTATTTTATTCCCCCCCCCCCGTTATCCTATGTGTACCCTTGGGGGAATCGACCCTCTTCTTTCCGATCGCGTTTTCAGAATTTTGATAACATCCAAGTTTACAAAGTTAAAGCCGGTTTTATTCATATTTGGGGCTCTGAGGGCTAATTTACATAATGTGAAAAAATACAAATTTCCTCATACTTGCGAGTTGCACGCGCGCGTGTGGTTGTGGGGGGAAAGGGGTCCAAGCACCCGAGCAATCGAAAAGCCAAATTTCTCATGCAAAGACTGCATTCCAGCGCCCAAGGCCCGCGAAGCTGGTTTTGGGCGCTGGTATATATAAAAAAAACATTTCCTGTGTGTATGTGGGTGCATTTGCATGCAACTTCCGTCAGCGTGTGCCAGTTATATCTCAAGAGGGAATGGTTTTTATGCTGCTTACGATACGCCATTAGGTTCGTCATGACGCCGAGTGGACTGCACACATGAGATTTTGAAAATATGTGGTTTCCGCTATAAAATTATGTTTTTGTTGAAAAATTGGACATTTTCTTTGTTAGGAAACAATTAGCATGAATCGGAAGTGAGGGTAGCCTATATAAAATTCAGACGACAGTTTTCATCCTTTGTCTGATCATTATTAGGAGAATCTATGCAAAATGTCGATTATAATGGAGGTCGGGCAGGGCCAGGGTTGAAAAAGTAGCGAAGCGGCTTTGCAGGCCTGGTGAAAATTAAGTTTTTAATCCGGATCTTGCTCAGATTGGGGGTCTCTGACCGCGCTTTGTCCAAATCCAAAGAGACCCAAGCTCTAGCTCCTTTCCCCTTCGAGTTGAGCTCTGCAGCAGACACACGGACGGACATCCCAGCAAACTTATTATAGCTAATGATGATTTAGACCCGAAAGCTGTTGTTTTTCCTGGTTCATCCTATAGCTCAGTGAAAGATTACCTGTTTATTTCAGTATAATGAAAACCAAATACTCCTTGCAGCCAGTGAGACCTATTGCACCTTAATAGTGTAAGGGAATTTGGTTTATAGTTTCTTGCAAGGGTGGACAAACAAAACCAAGTTGGAAAGCGCTGAATCATCTTCCATTCTTCCATTCGCGTGTTGAGTATGGGACCTCGTCGGTCTCTTTGTCATGTAGCAGGTAGAAAGATTTATTTCGAGATCATCGTGTAGGGATCATGGTTCAGAGGTAATCACAGGGAACATCCCTCCCTCCCTCCTCTTCTCTCTCTCCCCCTCTCTCTCCTTTGTCTCTTCCTCTCTCTCTCTCTCTCTCTCTCTCTCTCATTCTCTCATCTGGTAGTATTTATCATCTGGTAGCGTATGGGCCCTCTTGCAGAACTAGCAGAACAGAACCCTACATTTCTCAAAAGAGGCAATCGGATGAGGGTGATATCGAGTGAAGGGAGAGGGAGAGCGAGAGAGTGAGAGAGAGAAAGGGGAAGATATAGAGAGCGAGAGAGAGAGAGAGAGAGAGAGAGAGAGAGTTAGGGAGATGCAAGGTCACGCAAGCTCAATCGCCGTGAGGACTGTGCCTAATGGACGCATGCATTGCGATACCCTACTACGATTTGCATTCATTTGCTCTTATTTTTGATCTGGCCGATTTTTTATTTATCGAATGATCCTAGCGTATAAAAAACTAGAAACAAACTGTTCGGCTAATGTTTTTACAGCCGCTGTAGGTGCTGGTGCAATTTAACGACCTTGTTTGCCGTACAATTTAAATGACCATAATGTATAGTCCATCAACGGTAAATATCCTATCCTATAAGCGAGAAAAGTATGTCTGTTTTCTGTAATAAGGATTTCTCGGCCGTCAGGCAGATTCCCAACTGATTTTTGGCATGGAGATGGAGATAGAAATTCGCCAAAAACGCGCACAAACATATCCCCCTCCCAGGTCAGAAGAGGCCTTTGCCGCCGCTTCTCCTGTCTTGCAATGGCTTGGGGAATTCCTGGATCCTAGACGGGGTCCAGTAAAAAACGGCCGCGAAGCGGTCTTTTCTACTGATTTAAATAATACGCTATAAATATTTTCGATTTTTTTCAGGAATGGGGCGTCTGGCGCTGTTTCTGCTCGCTACTGTATCGATTTCTTCTGCTGGAATATGGGTACTCATGGACGCCTCCAATTGCGTTCATCTCAAATGCGAGTGGCGTGGAATGGGAACGGATTGTGAGTATGATAACACCCACCTCCCGGCTAAACAACAGGTTAGAGTTAGAGAAAGAAAGAGAGAGAAAGAGAGAGAGAGCAGAAAATAAATAAAATTGAAATTAACTTTTAGAAAGAAAGAAAAGCCATCGCGGATGGCGCTCCAGTCTATTACCCATCACAAGGAGATATTAACAAGGACGAGTCCGAGGCCAGCATTATGGCAAAAATAAAGGTATACAGGAAATGATGTTGTTGCAAATAACTTAAATTTTTCATTTAAATTGTTTAATTTTTGATTAAAATTTTGTTTCAGGCTGCGCATCGTGTGAATACGTTCACCGTGTTGAATGACTTCAGCGTCACTAAGAAATGTACGCAAAAAGAGCTGTGGTGCAACACAAAGAAGATGATAAGAACCGATGACAACGACGTAACCCTCAAAAAGCCATCAAGGATCTTTTACACCAGACCGAGGCTTGATTGCTGAGCTTGTTTTTGAGGCGATTAATATCTTAATCATGCGGTACAATACTTTTGTAAATTTAACATGGTTATTGTTTGATAAATTTTGTGACCAGTTATTTGCAAGCAAGTAAACGTTGAAGTTTTGATTCGCGAAAAGTCGTAATTTCAAAAGCTTCCCGATCAGCACATTTCATCCCTATTTTTCGTAACGAACACCTTGAGCGTTGCGTGTTTATAAACGTAGCTCTCTCTTTCTCTCTCTCTCTCTCTCTCTCTCTCTCTCTCTCTCTCTTTTTCTGCTTGCTGGCCGAGTGACCACAATGACCTTCACCCCTTTCCTAAACTAACGATAGCAGTATTGGCTGGAGTTGGGGTAAACGTTGCTATTTCAACCATGCTATTTTCTACGGTATTTCTATTAATTTCCATTTCTCCATGCATCAATTCCGATTTTATTCCAAAGCGCTTTTCCGTCGATTTGGATGCCCCTCCTCGAGAGCGATGGGCGGAGGTGATCAAGGCGCATAAGCAATATATACCTGGAGTAGCTGCGGAGAGTCGGTAGTGGAATTTTTAAAATATAAAATTAGTATGTAAAATTTACATCTTGATAAACATTTGAACCGATTTTATCAAGCGAAAACTGTAATCCCTGTATAGTAATCTACGCCATCAAATAATAACGCTATTTGATTTTTAATGTAATTTTACTAAGGAGAAAATAGCGTTTTTTATTTATTGAAAAATACGCCTCCTCATCTTTAAATCAAATTCATTAGGTTCTGATTCAATTTTATCACTTTGTCGGATAATAGACCGCAATATGATCCTAAATAATATATAATAAATAAGTTTTGAATTTTGTGGCAATATAAAATCTTAGTATTGCAAGTGGAATAAAAAACAAATTAAATTAATATACAAACATGCTACTAAGGTTAAAATACAATTTTATTCTTTTGAAAATTTTATTTTTCCGGTTTTTCAGAAAATACATCCCCAGCTGGGCGCAACCTTTCGTATTTTGGGTGGCCAAAGCTCTGGTCCACCTTTTCTCCCGGAAGAATACGCCGAAGAATTGAGAGGTTTTTTTCAAAAAAATTCCGCTTTACTCCAAAATGGCAATTAAGGAATTGCCGAAGCAGCCAATCTACCCCTGGGCGAGGTTGTCGGCTTGAATATTCTCTATGACATCACGGCATTCGACCGCAAGCAGTAATTACGCGTTTTTTAAGCTGAAATTATTTTTATTTTTAGTATATTTGGACTTGGGTGTACATCCTTGGTGGCTGAAGACGCGAGGGGAAGAATTTGGCATGGCCGGAATTTAGGTACTGTTCTTTTAGCGGAGGGGGTCGGAAAAGTTAATTTTTAATGTTTTTAGCCATTAATAATACATAGTCGGTTTCGATATTTTTCGCTAATTTTTAAATTCGAGCAAGTTGTCCAAAATATTTTCTAAATTTTTGTAAATTTGTAAGTTTTGACATTTTTCGTCATTTTTCACCAAAATTCGGATAATTTTGTATTTTTTCGATTTTATAGGTTTAAAAATTGTCTAAGATATTATAAAAAGCCTATTTTGCTATAAGCCAACGGGAAAACTGGCAAAAAATTATTCTCCCCCCCCGCTAAAATAAAAGCACCAAAATTTAGACTACGAAATGGGCGATCTTTTGAAAAACATCACCGTGTTAATAGACTTTAAACGGAACGGAAAGGTGGGGTTTTTTGGCTTTGTTTTGAAGCGAAAAGCCCTGTGTTTAGACGGCATTCACCGGAGTCACTTTTGTTCTCTACAATGGGCTTCTAACTGGTCAGAGACCAGGCGCCTTTTCGATCAGCCTGAACGCCAGATGTGAGGTTTCTGGTTTTTTAACAAGGAGAATGAGAAGGAGTTTTTAGTGTGACTTGAGTTTTGAGTAGAGGCCAGAAGCCTAAGCCTAAGCTTAAGCCAGCATGTTGCCCAGAACTCCGAGCTGATTCCGAATCTCTTTTCAAACGCTGCGAAACGGCCATTTTGAAAACGTAAGGCTTTTTGCTAAAAAACGCCACACTTTCTGTGTCTATAAAAAACTAGAATAAGTAGAAATATCCAAGAAAAATCAAGCAGCACCTCATTCTTAGAAAATTCTGCGCTTTGGAAGGAGCTATCGCACGCAAATTTTTTTTTAATTTTTCCAAAGCTATGCTGTGAGAGATCGACCTTCATGCTCCATCAGGTTAAAAAATTTTTGAGCAAAATCTTGGAACATTAACGTGCTATAGCTCATTCGAAAACGCTGATTAAAGCGTTGTTTGAGCGTGATGTGCTACGCGGTTTTTCGTGGATATTTTTCTAAGATTTTTATATGGGCAAATAGTTAAAAAGATTTGTAACTTTTTAAAAATGGCCATTTAGCGGTTTTTAAACCTGATTTGGAATCAGCGCGAAATTCTGGACAAAATACACCCTTAAAATACTCTTTATCGGAAAAAATTACAGATTCCGGGGCCTACATTGACAATATTCTAATGGAAATTTATACAAGGTTCAGAAACCCAGTGAGCTTTGTGATGCGTGAGGTGGGGGAAAGGGATTAAAAATTGATACCTCGGAATTTTTAGGTTTTGGAGGAAGAGCAAAGCTACGCCTGGGCACTTGATCGTCTAGTTCATACCCCTTTAATTTGCCCGGCGTATATTACGGTGGCCGGAATTAATCGCGGGGAAGGAGCTATTATTTCAAGGTATGCAAAATATCGAAATTATCTAGAAAAAGTTATTTTGATTTTTTTAGGAAAAGGATTGGGGCTGCTGATGTCTGGAAACTTAACAAAAATCGCTGGTATATGGTGGAAACTAATTTTGATCACTGGACCCCACAGGGCGATAAGAGAAAGTACTGTAGCTCGGATGCAAATTAGCTAAATTCAAATTTTTTAGAAAAGTAGCCTCGCATGCCCTGCATAAATTGGGACAAGAAAGGTTGAACGCCGATACGCTATTTAATCATGTATTATCGAGACAGCCCGTTTTGAATGAGTAAGTAATTTGCATAAAATGTTTATATAAAATATATCGTTTTTACCTGTTTTTATTAATTTATTGTTTGATTTAGTTTAACAATTTTCACGCTGGTGATGTCGCCAAGTGAGCCGGATGTGCTTTTTAATCATATTGTCATCAGAACAAATTCGACAAAGAAGATTGAAAATTTGGAAATGTAAATAAATTTTATTTACTATTTTTGTACCTAATTTGCATAAATATCGTCTTTAATATCGTTATTCCTTTGTAAAAATGCAGATTTACAAAAAACGTTATTAAAAAATATCTTATAGATTTTGATTCAAATTTCAAGGGTTTTCTCGAGCTGTACAAAATTGGCATAAAAGCTACAATTTTTAAAATTGCAGGTTTGCAAAATACAATTTTTAAACCATTTTTTTGTTGAATTTTCATAATTTTAGGGGTTTCTCGACCTGGATAAAATTTGCACAAATTTATAGCTACTTTATTGCTCCTTATTCAGTGTACAAATTTCAGATTTTAACCAAAAAAACTATTAGAATTTTTCTAAATTATTAAGTCTATTTTCCGGGTCCATCTTGACCTTCTCCTTGTTTTCTTCCTCAAATTTCGCGTGGGTTCCTTGAATTCAAGCCGTGGCGACAGAATGATGGATTCAATTGGACCAAATGATTGAATGTGGACACGGAAGGGGAGGGATGAAGCCTCAGGGTCCCTAGCCACTGGTTGTGATATGGTGGGATTGGGTGGGATTGGTGTTGAAGGGGCCATTTGGATGTGGTGACAGCTGTCCATTGACAATGATCCTCTTCCTCCTCCTCGCGCATTACACTCATTTGCATCTTGGTGGTGTCGTGGTGGTGGTTTGGGAAGGTCCAGAAGATTCTGTACTCCTTCAGGTATGTTTAGATACCTTAAAGGCGTATTAAACCTTCTCCTTAATTATTTTTTGCTAATAGCTGCTCAACTTAAACGCCTTTAGAAGATCGTAAATTTTTAAAAATTTTTATTTGTTTAATTCTAAGGGCGACTATTACTATTCGCGCTAAAATAAAAGTTTATTTATAGAATCACATACTTCTCATTATTTTATTGCTCATACCGCCAATTATTTTTATTTTTAGCTTAATAACTAACCCTACCCAATCCCATTCATGAAAAATTTTCACTTCACCTTCGTCAATCCATGTGAACCGCACTTTCAAATTTCGCCTATCTCTTTCTCTCTCTCTCTCACTCTCACTCCCACGTCGCCCACTAATTAAACCCAATTTGTAGCAAAAGTCTCGAGACCCCGTTTTTCAATCTGGTCTCTTTGTTTATACCTCCCAATTAGTGGAAGGTCTGCAACATTTCCCTCTTCAAATCCTCCCAGAATAACTCTCAAGGATTAAGAATTGAGAGGTGAAGGGAGCAGTCTGCGTCATTGGGGGGTCTGCTACATTTTGGAGGGCCCCAGGATTCTAATCTGGGTCTTCGCCCGAAAATCGGAGTTCCCTTAAAAAGTAATGATGATGGTGACGCATGGGGAAGTATAGGGTTAGGGTGGATTAAAATAGAAATAAAAATAAAGTCCCAAATCGTTTTTGAAATTCAGAAATCAGGTTTCAGAAAAGTGAGAAGGAGCTGAAAGATTATATGACTCTTTGTTTTTGCCCAAAGTTGTTGCTCATTTCTTTCAGTTTTTTGCTCAAAGTTGCTGCTCACCCGATGAATACGGAATTAACACACCTAAAATAGCTTTTCATACGTAGAGGCCACGGCTAAAAAACGGCGCTAACCTAAAAAAATAGCATAAAAGTTATTGAACAAGTTGGCCCTCCTGCTCAAAGTTCATGCTCATCCCATAAATCCAAGATCTAAAGACCCGAATTTAGAAATAGTGGTTGAAAAAGACAGCGCTAACTTAAAAAATAGCACAAAAATTTATTAAGCATACTCACCTTCGTTTTCCAAAGTTCATGCTCACCCCGATAAATCCAGCAGGTCGTTTAGCTATTCCGGGAAATTCTTATAAATATCTCATCTCGAAAGTCATCACCCTTGTGACGTCTTCTGACATTGACTACTGGAACGTCTTTTCCTCAAAAAAGAGTTCGAAGACAAATTGCGACATGAGGAGAGCCATCATCGAATGCATTGCGTGTCACAGAACATCTCATCCCCAAGGGGGGAGCACGTCTCATTGCTTTCACATCCCACCCGAGGGGTTGGGGAGGCCGAAAACATCGTCGGTTTCTTCTAATATGGGTTTTGGCTTTGAGGGTACTGTAGTAGGATTTTTTGGTTGTTTTTCAAATGTTTTTTTTTGGATTTTTCAGGACTGGGAAAGATATTTTCTTCATTTTAAAAAACCCTGTTTTTCCTTGGAGCTCGAAAACGGTTTTGGATTTTGCTAATAATTCTAATTTTTGGCGTAGAGATACTGTAGTAAATTTTTTAAGCTATTTTAAACTATTTTTTGGATTTTTCAGGGCCTGAAAACACTTTGTTTACATTTTTAGAACTTTAGAACAATATTATTTTGTAGATTCGAATGAACTCGTTGTTTTAAAGCTCAATGAGAACATCGGCTCCTGGAAATATAACTTTGAAATTTAAAAATACTGTATTTAGGAAAAAATTACGATTTTTAACGTATTTTATAAAAAAATTTGGATTCTAATGACTCATTTCCCTGATTTTGCATTTACATCTTCCCCCCACAGCTTTCTGGTCTCACTTTAAAATCCATATTTTCAAGGCGCAGCACCAAATCCAAAATCATCATTTTTCTCAAATCCTCAAACGCGCCGAAAATACTTTTAATTAGTTTTCAAAATCTGCAGCCGACCCCCTCTCCCCTCTACCAGGCTGACAATACGCCGCCACGCAACCCTGTGCGCATTTCAAACCGTGACAATTTTTGCCACCCTCCCGAGTCCTTCCCCGTCTCGATTTCCACAACAATACTCTTTCCGCTTTTAGGCGTTCGACTTACCCCAGACTTTGAAATAATTCCATTTCCTTCCCATTCCAAAGACCACCCCTTGACGTCAAAGCTCCACGCCAATTTATGTCCCCACTACTAGCCTTCTCCCCCCCCCCCTTTTCCCAGGCTACAATTACCCATCAAAATTTCATTAACGCAATGCAACGACTGGAGGGGGAACAATTAGGAAAAGCTCCAAATTTTGAAACAATTGTCTTTGGAAAATTCGGGACCCAAGAGGGGTTTCGAGGGGAAAAAAGGGAAATGCGCAACCAGCCACTTCAAGAGGGGAGTGGGCCCCGCCTATTTCTAATTTTGCCTATTCGACCTCGATTTTGCATGATATTTACGCCATATCGGGGTTTTTAGAAAACTATACATCAGTTAATGTGCATTAAGATACCTCAAAAAATTAGCTAGCCTTTTTGGCGAAACTTAATTTCCCCCCAAACCGGACGTGCCCAAAATTTTCCAAAATTTAGGTTATTTTGATGGGATTTTGACTACGCCCT